TGCTCCACCTCCATCGGCCTCCTGTCCCTGCTGTTGATCCTGCGCCGGTGAGTGACACCCCCACGCAGACCCCGGGCGGGGGTAGGGGTGGGGGTGGGGAGGGTGGTAGAGCCCCCGCCCCAGGAATCCTGAGTCTCGTTCTGGGATCCCTCTCTCTCTCTGTTTGAGTTGAAATCCATGTTTAAAATGCTTCCTAAGTGCTCAGGGCCAGGGATAAAGACGGAAGCTCCCCTCCGCCCCCTCCTGTGGCTGTGGGGTCGGTGCTATTAACAAGGAAGCAAATGAATTACAGCTTTTCTGGAAGGGAGAAGTGCTGAATGGAAAACCAACGGTGGTCGTTTGTTTCATTCATTCATTCATTCATTCATTCCTGCAACGAATACTGAGCAGCTGCTGTGTGCCCTGAGCTGTTCTAGGCAGTTGGCAAAACAGACCATAGAACAAACCAACGGCCCTAGCCGGTTCGGCTCAGTGGATAGAGCGTCAGTCCGGGGACTGAAGGGTCTCGGGTTGGATTCAGGTCAAGGGCACATACCGTGGTTGCAGGCTACCTCCTCGGCCCTGGTCAGGCGGGTGGGGCAGGCAACCAATCGATGTGTCTCTCTCACATCCATGTTTCTCTCTCTCCCCCCCTCCCCTTCCACACTCTCTAAAAATCATTGGGAAAATATCCTCGGGGGAGCATTAACAATAACAACAACAAAATAATAGTTACTCTTTAAAAAAAATAACAAACAGAAAGCAGTAATACATAGAAAACAGATGGGATGGGATGAAAGAGGAGAGATCAGCTCGTTTGTTGTTTTATTTTTGATTAAAAAAGAGTAAAGACCAGGTAGGAAACATTTTCATCTTTTTTAAAAAATATTTTTTATTAATTTCAGAGAGGAAGCGGGAAGGAGAGAGGGATAGAAGCGTCAATAATGAGAAAATCATTGATCGGCTGCCTCCTGCATGCCCCCTACTGGAGATCGAGCCCGTAACCCGTGCATGTGCCCTTGACCAGGAATCAAAAGCGGGACCCTTCAGTCCACAGGCTGACACTCTAGCCACTGAGCCAAACCAACCAGGGCCATTTTCATCTTTTTAAAAAAATACATTTTTATTGACTTCAGAGAGGAGGGGAGGAGAGACAGAAACATCCATGATGAGAGAATATCATTGATCAGCTGCCTCCTGCACCCCCACCACTGGGGATGGAGCCTGCCACCCGGGCATGTGCCCTGACCAGGAATCAAAGCGTGACCTCCTGGTTCATAGGTCGACGCTCTACCACTGGGCCACACCGGCCGGGCCTCATTGAGTCCCTCTATGTGAATCTCTGACCCTTGGGGGTCTCAGTCCCATCTGCATCTCCGTCTCCAGGGCTGGGTATCCCTGTGGGTGTCTGACCGCGGACTCTCTCTCTGGGTCGGTGGCTTCCCCTCTTCCTCCGCCAGGTGGCAGCTCGCCCAATGCCACGGCTCAGGGTGCGCTTTCCCTGTCCCCCCGCCCCCGCTCCC